TATATATATATATATATATATATATAAGAGTTTATTAGTAACCGAGCAACTATTGTTAAACAAAAAAAGGTACCGAAATAGAAAAAAAAAAGAAATAAAAAAGTTCAAAATGTAATTGTAGTGTAAAATTGTTGATATCTTAAAGAATATTTAATTTCGAGGAAAAAGATGGTTATATAATTATTGTCAAAAGCTTGTTGCTCGGTAATATAAGTTATAGGCTATATAGATTTGAATGTGCAAGTGATTTAGAGACTTGATGGTTGAATCTTTTATGTAAGTGAGATTATGCGAGAATAATAAAATAAATGATGAACAAAATGAAGAGTGAAGGTAATAATTGATTACTATAGATGTTTTGGTTCGAAAAAGGTTGTGATAAATTAAGTTTGATATGAGGTATAGATGAAGATTATAAAAAAATAAAAAATAAACAATGATATAGAGCTGTATCACGGGTCTTCCCGTACTAACTCAATTTTTCTTAACGTACTGATGGGAGAGAACAATTTTTTTATTAGTTTTTAACCAGTAATTATATTTATTTACAGAAGATTTTCTTAATTATTAATAAAGTTTTAATAAATATATTAATATTTGCAACTCTGTGTTCATGCTATTTTTCTTTGTTATCGGTTGTTTGGGTGATTATGCTGAACATAAAAAGTTTATGATAAAGTCTTAGTCATGAAAGGAGGTCTAAACATTTAAAAGGGGTGACTGGTTAGTTGAGCAAATGAGATGAGCATGACAACCTCAACATGTAATATGTTAGAGTAGACCATCATAGTTATAGTTACTTCACTCAACCAGTACAATTATAACTTTCGTTGCCTTCAACTACTCTAATTATATATTATATTAATTTTCATAAACATACATGGAATATACAATCATTTTATTTTGATATGGCTATTAATGTAATTCATTATTTATTTTATTTATCAAATAAACATAATAAATAAAAGAACGATAATGTCCGTAAAATTTGAAAAACGAGGTGTTTATTTTTCTCTCTCTTGTACTTTTCGAGGGTTGAAATCCTTTCTCTGTTTTTTCTGTAAACGTAGAGATCAAGTTTGGTATTATGGCGCTTCTAGAACGTTGAAGTATGATGATGTTATTGATGTGGATCCATACCTAGGTTTACGTTGAAGAGCTCATGGAGGAATATAGCGCTGTTGAAGTCATCACCATGACCGAGACGGAAGCATAGTTACGAAGGATCCGGGGAAGGGAATTGGAGATGAGAAGAAAGAGAAAAACAAAACCGAAACTACATGTTTGAGGTGATTTCCGACTGTGGCAAGAGCATTTGAAAAAACTGGTGCGAGCTAAACTACAGTAACTTGATTAATCTAAATGGATGGATATTGTGGTCCACCATAGCCCACCTAGTTCCATGGTTCACTGTGTTGTCATGGCTAAGAAAAGATGTTTGCTTCGTGAAAGTGACAATAGATGGTATGAGTAGTTAATGCATGAATGCATGATCCCACCAAAACCAAGAGCATCATTCCAATATAAGAGACACCACAACACCGCCACCAATTGCAACGTCTGCATTCACTCTTAGTATTAATTAACGTTAGACACTCTCACATTCACTCACTCCACGTGCAACACGTATCAGAATCATCCTAATCTCACTTCATCCAATGAATTAGGAAACTATATATAATATTCCCCTCAAAAACATAAATTTAAAAAACCAAAATACATTCACCCCTTAATCCCATATTAAAAACCAACAAGCATCACTGTCATACACATTCTCCGTTCTCTCTCCAAAATTCTCCTTCCAATCACAGCGTTACAGATTCATTCGCAGCAATTCCAGCCAGCTTAGCAGTTCTCGTGACACGAAAGCTGTACAAAACACTTGGAAATGAACCCCATAATTTTCTTCTACAAAACCATAGTAAATTAAGTCAAGAAAAAATTAGTATACAGAATAAGTACTACACAAACATGGCATTAACATTAATAAGAAAAAAGAGAGTTTGATGAGACACCCGTTTGTTGGAGGTGTGGAGGAGTTCGGGAGGGATCTTGTAGAGATCTTCGTCAACGGGTTTGGGAGTTCGCCGAACGTTGTCCTCTTGTTGCACCTGCATATGCTTCCTTCTTCTGTTTGGCTTCCTTGACTGTTCCTTGTCTACGTACGCTTTTCCTTTACCATGCGGGCACCTCCTTCCCTTGTTCCTAGTTTCCTGTACCACAGTCACAAATTAAGTCAACTCAAACATCCTCAAAAAACGGTTTCATGGTTTGTCCATAAAGCAAAAAATGTCATGAACCGTCACAATTATGATCATGCATGAAGTTGAGGAAGTAATTAAGGAAACCTGTTTGGTATGATTTCGAAGGGGGCGAGGAGGTTTGTTGTGGAGACGAGTTTCGGCGGAGGAGGAGGTGTAACGAAGCGGACGGGGCTGTGTTGCACACTCGAAATAGCGAGTGATTGGAAAGTCATTGGTTAAATCCCAGTTCCCAAACTCCGGAATGTGTGCGTCTGTCTTCCATTCCTATCAGCATGAAAAGGTAATCATTAGTTAGAACCATGAGTAGTGACTAAAAAGGAAGGTGTGTGAAAGCAAAGAAGCTTACATCCATTTTGTGGAGGTGTGTGAAACGAAAGGCAGAAAGAAAGTTGAGAGCAAAAAGGTTAGATAAAGTGGGGAAGGAGGGTTTCCTAATAAACCTCAGACAGTTTGGTGTCTGAAAAGCGAGAGGTGAAGGGAAGGAGTGGAATAATGGTAAAAGCCTTTTTACACGGTTGAACTATGATTATGACAGAGAATGAAGGGTGCAGTGTGAGGGTGCCAGAAGTGGTGACCATAACCATGTCTATGTAATAAAGGGCCTGCCCAGGGCACTGCCGTCACAGACCATTTTTCTTTTACCACGAATCAGTTTCAACACAGACAGACGTCACTTTATTTATATATATTAATAATAGTAAGAAGATGGTTGTTGTTGTTATTCTATGGTGGTAGTTGCCTTTAGTTCTGCAAAGTGTGGTGGTTGATGTTGAGTGAAGGGGCCAATTGAATGAGAAGCAGCAAAGTACAGGTATGGGAAAGGGACCCTCCATGGCCTTCTTATTCCTTTTCCCATTCCTACCTAATGGCTATAAAAACCAGGCATTTAGTGAAAGAGAAAGTGCTGCAGAAAAGTGGGTGTGTCACTGTGCACAAGTATGACCAATCTGAAAAAGCTTGGAATTTGAATGTTTATTGTTGCTGCCAAACTGTCACTGTTCACTCTGTCTTCTCCTCACTTATTGCACTTAAATTTGCCTTTTGCCATGTATGTGTTTATCAGTTTATCTTCCAAATAATAATAAAAGTTGGCAAACTTTTTCAATGGGACCCAAGACACCATTGATATGATTTCATTCAGGAAATGCCCGATCTCATCCTTTAACACCGCTTCGTCATGTCAATTACCTCTTCTATTGTACCTTTCAATTCTTGGAACAAAGCAAGGTTTTCGTTCTCTATTTTACTTTATGCATTAAGTGGATCTTACCATTTCTTTCATCTGATAACAGCAACTCTTGTTTCACAATTTGCAACTTTAAAAGTTATTAAACAAGAGTTTGTAAATAATATAACCAAATCTTCGTATTTTATTAGAATTAATTCGCATAAGTACGCAAAAACGTATGATCCAAAGTTAATTTAAACGCCTAAACTTGCTAAAACATTTACACCTCTAATGCGTAATAAAATTACTTTACTCAAACCCCATGTTGGAAATGTTCTTATTCATTGGAAAGGTGGAAATGTGCACAATAAAGGAATGGTCCATAGTTTTTGGGCTTTTGTTCAAATTCGTCCATATCTTTTAAAAAAGTTTAATAAAACTTCATATTTTCTTAAATCGATTCAAAATGGTCTTCTTGACTTACGGCGTTAAAAACATAAGGGTGCAATTGCTTCCATAGTCAAAAGTGAATGATATGTACAGTTTTGCAATAAGTAACACGTTTGATATATTTTAAGGTGTAAATTTTAAAAATAAAATTGAATGATGTGGAAAAAGTTTAACTAGGGGTTAACTAAAATTACAATTAGGTTAGAATCCATTCGCGATTTGGGATTCAAGAATTTGATGAAAGTGATATTCAATTTAGGTTCATGGTTCGTTGAAGGTGCAATTGGAAGAATCCCGCCTGCGAGCAACCCATTTCAGCATTCATAATCTCTCTTTCTTCATTCATTTTTCAATTCAACCACAACAAAAGAGAGAAGGAAACCTATCACACCCACCTCCATCTTCTTTGCGTAAGGCCACTACAACACGACCTTCACCCAAGACTGCACTTTTCTCGCCTCGTCTTGCACCATTATGTTTTTAACGCCGTAAGCCAAAATGACCATTTTGAATCGTTTTTAACGAAGTATGGAGCCTTACTGAACTTTTTTAAAATGTAGGACGACTTTGAACAAAAAAACTCAAAACTAGGAACCAAATAATGTATTAAACCTAGATTAATTGATTCCTTCGTTGTTTTAAGTAAAGACTCCAAAACAGGATTAGTTCACTTAAATTTTTGTAAAATTATTTTATAAAATTGATATTATATCTTAAAAAATAGTTTATAGTTGAAAATTATATTTTTTTAAACTAATTCAAATTTATCAGTAAAAATATTTTTTGGTATAATTATAAATATTACTTTTACATCTATAATATTAATACTATTTAGGGTTAAATATGTTTTTAGTCCCTAAACTATCAAACGATTTTGGTTTTCGTTCCTCTTCGACATGTTTGTTCAGTTTAGTCCTCTTAGTTTGGAAACTCTTATGTTTAGTCCTTAAAAAGTAATGGTGTTAAGGTTTCTTTGATGTGGCAAACGGCGAGCCCACGTGTGATGCCACGTTTCTCTTTTTTTTTTTTTTCTCTTTTACTCTTCAACGGAGCAGCGTCCACTGCCTCCGACAACCATCACCACATCGGCCTTCACTGCCGTTGCCTGAAGCAGCCTCCTGTCAGTAGAAGAAATCCATCCGGCCAGACAACACCATCATCACCACCGGTATTGCTCTCCTCGGCCAAGAGCTTTCTATTTTGGCCAACGTTGTTGTCTCGGAGCTTCATGCTCAGTTCGAAGTTAGCAATGTCGGTGTCGGTCACCTAAAACTCTCCTTTCTCCTTCTCAAACACTGCTTGAGTTATTTGAGAGTTTGTGTTACCCTATGATGGAGTTTCATTTGATTTTGATTCATCACGGTCACCAGTTGATGCATCTGTTTTAATTGCAATAGGATAGATATCGTCGTCCCCCACATTCAATAACTCAGACTCCTCAAATATCGAAAAATCAATACCAGTTCCAACTCGTTGTTTAAACCTCTGGCCAAGACCTTGCTGGAAAGTTACAGTCACGGGTGTAAGAACATTTTCCTCATTCGGGTTAGGATGCAACCTTCCCCTTCTTTTGCAAAGAAAATTATCGTGATGTTGTTATGGAGGTAAAAGGAAACAAACCATTTAGATCAAACAAATAAAAGAACTAATCCCACAAATATTCACATTCCACTAGTAAAAAAGTTGCTTTTTAACTCGCCCTATAGGCTTCGGTTTAGGAAAAACCGAAGCCTATTAAAACGTGGTGACATTTTTGTAGTTTAGGCGAACTTATACGCCTCGGTTCAAGGGGACCCGAAACATATAAGGAATATTAACTCGGTTGATAGTAAAATCGATGCCTAAAAGTCTACCTTTCCGCCTAACAAGTCTGAAATTTGAAGTCTGCACAAAGCCTATAGCTTCGGTTCATTCAGAACCGGTGCAAAACCACGGTTATGCCTCGGTTTAGGCGGGGACCGATGCATATAGCCATTTCGTATTTTTCTACATGTTTCATTTCCCCCATTCCAGAAGTACGATTTCGCTCTTCCCTCATCCCCTCCTTCCTCTCCTGCAACCCTTCCCTTCTCCACTCCCCTCTCCCTCAACTCCACCATTCCCTCACCACCCTTTTCTCCCTCCGCATCCCTCAAAACGAGCTCGGCTCTTAGGGTTTTGGCGCTCAGAGGTGGAGGTTGTTGTAGGACCTAGCGGCGTACCTCAGGACGGTGCCCACGACCATGAAGAAGAGAGAACTCGCGACGGTGCAGCGAGAGCCTGCGACGGTGCGGCGAAAGAGTCCGCGACAGTGCGGCGAGAGCCTGTGACGGTGCGGCGAGAGAGCCCGCGACGGTGCGACGAGAGAGCAGCGACGGTACTGCGATGGCGGCTGCGACGAGGATGCGACGACGACATGGTGGTGGTTAGGCGTTGGATCTGCTTTTTTGGTTCTGTTTCTCTGCAGGTGGATGGCGAAACGGATCTGCGTTTTTGGTTTTTGGTTTGGATAGTGTTTCTCTGATTTTCTGTTTTTGGTTTGGATAGTGTTTCTCTAAGGCTTCTGATTGCTTGCTCCGTCAGGGAATAGAGCCTCCTCCTCCTCTCTTCCACCTTCATTCTCATCTCCTCCGTCTGCTCTCTTCGCTTCCTATTGCCCCCTTCTTAGATTGGAGAAATCATCTGAGTTTGTCAAAAGTAATTTTGCCCCCACTTGTGTAAAATCGATTAAAAAAAGGCTTAAATACCTACTTAGTCCCTGTGTTAATAGCTGAATTTCCGTTTAATACCCGGTTTTAAAAATGAAGACATTAGGTCCATATATTATGAAAAGTGTATGACTTTAGTCCTGTCCGTTAAGTTGGTAGTAACGGTGTTAACTCCGCGCTGACGTGGCTACGCTTCTTTTCTCTCTCCTCTGCTCTTCCTGACACCTTCTGATTTGCTCCTAAATTCCTTCCAGCTTTTATATTTGTTTTGTCTGTAATTGGCAGCCCCGTTTTTAGGCAACTTCTTCCACAATTTGCTGAGTCTTGGACGTGAGAAAATAAGGTGAGGGCCCCTCCATTTTGCAAACTCTCTTGTCATGTTCTGCACCTTGCAACCGTGGACGACCTTCCATACTCTTCTTCCTTCACACGTTGCACACCATTCCAGCCGTGGGTTCCCTTCTCCATTCCAAGAATCTACTCTTCTCCTTCTCTTTGTTGTGCATACCATTCCAGCCCCTTGCTCACGTGAATTTCCTTCCAGCCGTGGCTTCTTTCTCCGTTTCAATCAGCGTAGCCTTCTCATGCTCCCAAGCTGCTGGACATGGAGATAGCTGGACTACTCTTCTTTGCATAGACCAAGACCGTGGAGCACCTTGGTGCTGGACTCTGCTGCCATGTACTACTGCAGCTGTCCGAGAGCTTCTCTTCTTCTAAGAAAAATCAATGGACAATGTGCTCTCTTCCGTGTGCTGCTCTTGATAGCTGGCTGCTCCAAAGCTTTGCTTCTCATGGACCCTTTTGGATGAAGATTTGAAGGAGTGCAGATCTTGTGTTGATGTCCGCATGCAGCCCTCCATTGTGTTTCTCTTCAAAATGAAGATCACTTGCAGCCATGGGCCGTGGCATGCTTCTCTGCTGCTGGACCTTCTTTCACCGTGTGCAAGATGATGTCTTTAGCTTCCAGCTAACGTGTGCTGCCTTTGACGTGATGTACCTTCTTTGCTTCCACATTTGAGCTCACTCGTGAGCACCTCTTGGAGGTGAGAAAAGAAATAAGGTTGGGGCCCTCCAAGCTACTCTTCCGTGACCACATATGTTTTGAAGCCAAAAACAACAAATATAGTGTGACCGTGAATGCATAAGAATTGTGGCAGCAACTTTCTTTAAAAACCGTGAGCTTCCTTTTTTCCATTGAATGTCCAAAACCAAAAGCTTCGTGGAAGAGCATGGAGAGTGAAAAATCTGCACTACAAGCCAAAGTGAATATACATCTTTTCCATGTGGGCCGTGTGGTTGTATTCATTAATTAAAAATCAAAAGCATAGAATGTTG